AAAGTTACTTCAGTATACATGGGGAAGTTTGCTCATATTCAAAGTTAATAGGATGATTTGTAAATGAGATGGCAAGCACTGAAAAGAAACTTGTAATAGGAGTCTAGTATATCGATGATATTCTGCTGCACGATTTGGTTTAATTGAACAACACTCATTAAGCTTTTGGATGCTGAAACACCAGTTAGTTAAGTTTAGCAAGCAAAAAAAAAATTTCCCCCATTCATCCATTATGCATTTCTTCAGCTGTACAACTCTACGGGGACTTTGTCGCCTTATTTTGCGCTTCATAATGCGCCACACATTCTCAATCAGAGACATGCTACTACCCACACTCTCTGATTACGCAACCATGCACTTGTAATCCGGGCAGAATGTGGTTTGGCATTGTCCTGCTCTGGATGGCAACATGTGTTGCTCCAAAATGTGTACATATCTTTCTGCATTAATGTTGCCCTCACAGATGTGCAAGTTACCCATGCCATGGGCACTGACACACCCCCATACCATGACACATGCTGGTTTTTGGACCTGACGCTGATAACATCTTGGATGGTCCTTTTCCTCTTTGGCCCGGAGAACAGGGCGGCTGTTTTGTCCAAAAACTATTAGCAATGTTGACTCGTTGGACCAAAAAACATGATTCCACTGTGCTACTGTCCATCTCAGATGAGACCGAGCTCAGAGAAGTTGGCAGCACTTCAAGACAGTGATGATGTATGGCTTCTGCTTTGCATAGAAAAGCCTTAACTTGCATCTGTGGATGCAGCCCGCGAATGGTGTTGATTAACAAAGGTTTTCCAAGGTGTTCCGAGCCCATGTCAAGATATTCATTACAGACTCATGATGGTTTTTAAGACAACAGAAGATATCTGAGGGATCTGAGATCACACGCATTCAGAAGTGGTTTTCGGCCTCGCCCTTTACACACTGAGATTTCTTGAATGTTTTAATTATATTGTGCGCTGTAGAAGGTGAAATGCCCAAAATCCTACCAATTTGTCTTTGGGAAATGTTGTTCTCAAAGTGTTGGATTATTCTCTGATGCATCTGTTGGCAGATTGGTGAGCCTTGCCCCATCCTTGCTCTTGAAGGACTAGGCCTTTTTGGAGGCTCCTTATACAGAATACTATGATTAGATGATTGCCTCACCTGTTTCACATCACCTTCTTATTTCAACTAGTCCTATATTGCCCTGTCCCAACTTTTCACTTTCAAAATAAACATTTACTTTCAAAAATCTATGCAGTTGATTAGGTGAAACATCAAATACCTCGTCTTCATATGTTTTTTGTTTAAATACGAGTCAAAGTACATTTACAAATCGCTCATCTTTGTTTTCATTAGTATTTTCCATACTGTCCCAACTTTTTCGGAATTGGGGTTGTAGTATTGGTTTGAGACATCTAGCTGTACACAGCTCTTATTAATGGGTTTGGGTTACGTAGATCTTGTAAGAGACAACTCCACAATGCACTGCCATCATTCCCATTCCATCGCTGGCACAATAGCTGGATTTAGCTATGAGAGATCAGCAGGTCAGATGGCAGAGATGTCTGAGGCCGCATGTGTGTTTCTAGATCACTGTGCCACTGTTAACCCACCGCAGCAATCCCTGGCACTACTAAAAGCTGATTGAGTATTCTGACTGTCGGCTTGTACTTGGATCTGTTCTTATGATATTAGAACGCCTTTCAGCTCCAATTTGTCAGAACATCAAAAATATCAAGCACTTCAAATTTTTCCATTTATCCAGCCAATGCATTTATCCAGACACGGAAATGAAAGTAGTGCTATTTTAATTCCAGTCTGCGTCTAACCTAAAGTAACCTCAACCCTTTTATCAGTTTTTAAAAAGTTTGTTAAAAGCTCATTATTTGCTTGATTATTGATGTTGCAATGACCTCACCTTGCAGTCCTAGTAGTCTTAGTATTTCAAGTATTAGTAATCCTAGCGCAACAGCATTGTCTATTTCATTTTCTTTACACTGACTCTTCATTGCAAGTGATTCATTGACTTTGCTTAAGCAGAGATTTTACTAAAAGGTCCTTTCAGGCAACCGTGTGCCAGGTAAAAGCCCCTTGACGATTGCTTCAGATTGATTTCCTGTGCCGAGAACAAATTGCCATGCATTGACTGATTTAACAAACATATTTATTATTCATAATTAGGGCCCCCGTGCTCTCTATGGGAGTTGGATCTAAGCCGAGCTTTAATTAGGAAAGGTTCCGAGTCTCCTCTCGTCTCGTAGCTAAACAGGTGCGGCCGTAATTCGGGAAACTAAGCCGAACTTCTTTTTTTTTTTTTAATGATGAAAAATGAAGCCTTATTATGGAAGTCACTTGTTTGTATTGCGTGACCTTCAAAACCAGAAAGGTGAGGCTTGAGGGAACTGCATAATTACTTTACATCTAAGGTTGCAAAAAATGCAATGTTTCACATATTTTGAATGCCAGCCACCATCTGTTGGTTGAATTTCACCGTTTGTAGGGTGACTCGCCAACAATTCCAGTGGCGAAGCTAATAACAAAGCCTAAGAGGCCCACTTCACACTGAGAAAATGTGGACACAAAGGGCAAGTCCTGACTTGAGAATGCTCTCAGTTTTAGTGCCTCTCACTGGTCCATTATATCATTTGGTAAAGAATTATTGGCAGCTTTGCAAGCGATGGTATAGAATGTATGAAAGGGCAACGAGCCACTTCGCCAAATGGCTTTCATGAGATTATTCCCTGTCCAGAGAAAGCTCTTGACCCGTTCTACTAAATTTTACAAGTTCTACAAATCAATGACAGAGTGGAAGCACATCCGGAAGTGTCCTCTTATACCACAGCAATGACTCCAATTATTAATGAGCAGCACATCATACATTTTTATCTGTGTACCGTTGCATTTAATGTTGTAGAACGTCCGCAAGGCAATTAGTTCCTGTTATCACTTGTGTTATAGCAGCAATAAACTGCCATTCCCTCGCTGGCTTTGTCATGTTACAGAGAAACCAAAAAGCAGAAAGTAATCCATCCTGACTTTTGCATGGTGGAAAACTTGCTGACATTGGAGACTCCTTCCCTACATGTTCTTTGTTTGCCAAAGAAGTGAACAGCATATTGGAACGAGAACTACTACAGCCAGAACTGCTGTCTGACAAACCAGGCTGTGGTGTAATAATGATATTTTCAATCTATTAAAATCTCCGGCAAGTCTAAATGGTTATATCAAATTAGCTTTATACTCTGTTGAGGTGAGAAAGATGTCCAATAGTCTGTCTTTTTTATATTATATAAAGAGGAGTGTAATACAGGTGTAGCAGATCAGAACGATAGAGAGATTTTCCCAACTTTTTCACAATTCCGACTCCTCTAAACCCCACTTAAGGTGATGCTGACATAAAGAATCAACCATGTTATGTCTTCTCCCATTGTCTGTGTTTTTCCTGTTGATGCAGTGGAGCTGTCCTCGGCAGCTCTTTGCCGTATTATCTCCTGAAAGGAGGGTCGAAGGGAGGGAGGAGAAAGCACCAGTTCTTGATTTATTGCCTCTGCAGAGCAAAGACGAGGGGAGGGGAGCGAGAAAAGAGAAAGGGAAGCTTTCCGGAGCGGAGAACAGGACTAAAGCTATTCGAAAGCAAGAGTTTTTGAGGGTCAGAATGAAATAAGGGGACTGACATTTATATGCCTCTAGGAGGATTTTTCATTGCTTTCTTCTATCCCTGTTTTTCTTCTTCCTCTCCGCATGCTTGTTCAGTTTACCCTGCCTTTCCTTCTCTTTGTGTCCACTTTTTTCTTCATCGCCTGCAAGAGGCCCCTGGGAATTACCTAGAATGCTACTCAGTCTGTCAGCTCTTCACCCCATGAGGCTGTCCTGATGGTGCACCTCGGAGAGCAAGAGAAAGGCAGAGATATAGGGAAAAAGCAATGAGTGAGCAGTAGTCAGGCACACAACTGTCGCTCATCGCTAGAGCCCCCACTGAGCTATTCTTGCAAGAGGCCACAGTCGGCCGTGGAAAACTTTTGCGGAATCTCTGCTTTTGCAAAACCGGAGCGTGACCCAGAAAGAAAACTTGCTTATGGTTTCAGATGTTCGTCAGTTCAGATGGCACTTCCAAGCAGCGCGCTGTCACGTGGGACATCTGAAGAAGCTGGTTCCTAAGGAGATTGTTTAAGCAAGCCCTTGAGAATCTTAACTTCTGGTTCAGTGGTGTCTGGCTGCATTCCTCTCTACACTTGTCAATTGTTCTGCTTCATTGGTGTGCAGATGCATTGTGATACCCACAGGCATCAATAGCCATGTTCAATCTTCAGCCGCTCTTCATGGTGTGGGGGTGCAATATAATGTCACTATATGTATATGTATAGGGCTCCAAATATTCATATCTGTATTAGGATTTAAACCCAAAGTGGACATTGCCGTATCTGTACGTGTATCTGTTTAAGACACGTTTATTCATACGTTGAGTTTACATGTACGGTAGGGCTGCAACAACTAATAATAATCGATCATTAAAATAATCGACAACGAATTTCATTATGGATTAGTCAGGTCTGGGTAACCCCCATCACTTCACAACGGTGATAAACACATTTATATGAATAAAACACATCTGGACAGCAGAGGTCACAGAGTGCACGATCCAGGTCATCCAAAACATCAGAAAGTTTTATATTAAGCGCTTCAAGCAAACTCGTAAGTGTATTAACGTGGCTCGCCATGTCAGACTGATGCGTGTGCTGTATAATGTGTTCCAGGCATGTTTTCTTCAGCACAGAAATGACATTTTTACATCTATATCCTTATGTGTAAATGTTCAAAATACACGCCAGTATTTCCATTTTACATAAAGACTCGTCCTGACAGCGAGTGAATTTCCGTTACACTTCACTGAATGAGCACGAATGAGTCCACGCATACTCATCAATCAAAGATAGAAAGGAAAAAAGATAGGAAGCGCCAGAACTCTGACTAAAATATTCATTTTGATCAAATATGTTGTTTGATGGAGGCGCACGGTGGCTTAGTGGTTAGCACTTTCACCTTACACCTCCAGTGTCGGGGGTTCGATTCCCGCCGGGGCCGTGTGTACGGAGTTTGCATGTTCTCCCCGTGCTGCGGGGGTGTCTAAAGTGTATGAATGGGTGTGTGAGTGTGTATGTGATTGTGCCCTGCGATGGACTGGCACCCTGTACCCCACCTTGTGCCCGATGATTCCTGGGATAGGCTCCAGGTTCCCTGTGACCCTGAAAAGGAGTAAGCCTGAAAAGGTAGAAGATGGATGGATGGATGGATGTTGTGTGATGCTGTATTTAGCGATATTTATAAACAAAAGAAATTGTGTGTTTATGAGAGCGGTAACTGTAATGGGGTTATAACATGTCATTGTATATGAATGTGACAAGTGTCATACATTTACAGAATAAAGGAACATGTTACTGTGTTCAGATGAGTGAATGTGTGCGTCACTGCAGAACATTCAACCTCTTACCAGTTAACACTTAGTTTCTGCTTTTATTTTTCTTCTTTAGCGTTTTTAATATTGTGATTTAACTTCTGCTTTAAAGCTTGTGGACAACCAGTTGTTGTTTTTTTTTCTACATATAAGGTTAATATTAAAAAAGATCCTTTGCACAATGTGTAGCATAGCCCACATAGATACATTTAATAACTTTTTCATAGCCTTCAATTTGCACAATGTTCGAACGACAACATGTGGGGCAGAATGTGAAATAGCATGGTTTTTCGAACAAATACTGGAAATAAAAATTGGCCTTTTAATCCAATTAATTCAAGAAATATTCAACAGATTAATCGATTATTAAAAATCGAAAAATGTTTAATTGCAGCCCTAATGTACAGAGATATCCCAACAATTGTGGGTCTTCTTGAGACCACTGTGTCTTGAACATGGTACCTAACATTGGGACCACCAAATGGGGTGCATTTGCTCACACTTGAATACTGAACACTCAGCCAAGAACCAAGGAAAGTTAACTGTCATGTTAATTGGCCAGTTTTCAAAGAATGCCCAAATTATTAGTCTGAAATATCAGGTCTTTTTTGAGACTGTTCGATCCTTCCAAATATTCTTTTACTAATACTGGCATCATTGCCATCGCGCTTGTCATCTCATATATCTCTAGCTAGCCAAGTTGAGTCATTGAGTTCAACATTTGTATCAATGTTCCCACTATTTCTATGTTGGTATTCTCATTAATATAGCATTGAACATAGCTGATGAGCTGGAAAATGGTGAGTGAGCAAAGAGGCTCTTTCATGTCACCTCTTGCTTTTCATTCATTTTTATATGACCGAATAAAGATACAAATTCCAATTCCTTTAGTACTGAGGATTTCCATCCTTTAGGACTCCCTCTGTCATGTTAAGCTAGATTAATCTCTGCAGTGCGGAGCCGCTGATCGTCCCCAGAGAAGACATTCAAAGCCCAGTCTTGCTGACACTCTTTCATGCAGCCACCTGGCCTGAATTTCAGCAAGACCTTCTAGACAGGCTGGATTGCTCTTTCAGCACTCTATCCATAACTCAATGGAAAGATGCTTCCGTAAGGCGAGCTTTAATATCGACTAGAATGTGACAAATGTGATTAGAGTAATTGGCTTAAGGATGCAGCCTTGTCCACAAAACCATTTTACAATACAGCCTTGACTATTAGCGATACCGTAAAAGCATCGGTAGTTGTTTGATCAATTAAGTAAACTCCTCGTTCCCCAAATTGCTTTATGCTGAAGAATTCACCTTTCTTCATTGCACTGCCTCTTGTTTAACTTCTAGGATACTTCCTGGCTGCGAAGGAAACAAATTGACTCTCAAGCATGCATAATTGCAAGAGAAAAGTGCCTGTTCAATCACCTCCATGCCTCTTCTGGTGGAAAAAATAATGGAGGGAGGAATATAGAGAGCATTTACTTGCAGGCCGGTGGTAAATAATCCATCAGCAAAGCTCAGCAAGATTCAAGGATGACCCACCAACAGAGTTATGGTAGAGTTATGGCTGTCAGCATGTAGAGCCCTCATTACTGAATATGATCTCCTGCCATGAGAGAAAGATGTAAAGATGGTGGAAAGAAGAACGAAGAGGTGAGGGATTTTGTGAGTGAAATACTACTGACTGTGAAAAATGGGAAGTATATGAGCGTGATGAAAAGTGAATGAGCAATAGAACTCGAGCTCTTCCCTTCTTGGCTAAGAAGCAGACATAATTTTTTTTCCTCGTTGTTTGCAAGATATAATATCGAACAGACTTGTCAGTTCACATCGCAAGACTGACCCCTGTGGTTCACCCCTGTCTGTATCACTCTGCAATCCGCTCATCTCGTACACACACATACATTTCTTCATCTTCCGGACTTGTCTCAGCTTCTGGATGTAGCTCATATCGAGGTTGACCTCCGTTAAGTGTGTTTTGCGAGTCTTGTAATGAGACATGCCTTCATAAATGTGAGCTGCAAACGTATTCCTGGACTCGACAAGCAAGCTAATCGAATTGTCGAGAAATGTTTATCAATCTGACGAGTGGCTGTAGACCGTATGAGACGTTGGCACAGGACTTTGCTATGGACCATGGACACGTTCTCTGTATTTTCGGTAAGGCATAAAGCATTGCCTGTAAATGTATCTTCAACATGATGCCATTATTCAGCTGAAAAGATGAAGAAGCTCCAGTTTTTATTTGACTTTCTGAAGCAAGACAAATTTATGCCATTGGGCAGATGCCCTTATCCAGAGCAACTTTACAGAGCTATATGTGACTGAGCAGCTGAGTGTTAAGGGCTTTGCTCAAGGGCTCAGCAGTGGCAGCTTAGCAGTGCTGGGATTCGAACTTATAACCTTCCCATCAGCAGTCCAACATCTTAATCACTGAACCGATTTTTGCATACACAACATTGCATACACATGTTGCCAATAAATGCCAATAAGCCTTAAAATGACGGGGCACGTTCATGGCACAGACAATTTGCATTTAGTGAAGCCTTTATTGCTAAAACTTCACATAGAAGACTTATGTTGTCATATAGGGTGTTGATTAAATTTCTGTAAGAGCAGCTAGTAGTGCCAGCTATCGTTTCTATAGTAACCGCTCAGTCTCAGGGGCTTAGTACCACCCAAGGCATTTTTGTTACTAAAGGTACAATTAGTCACATTACAAGAGTCTTTTGGATCATATGAATTCTAAATGAACCTTAATGGGTTTTCTGTGCCATCTTTTCATTATCTTTAAAAACTGATGTGCAAAACAAGCGAGTTGATAATTGCTGCAGTCCTTCAGCTGCCCTAAGCAATCAGTTTGCTGTGTGTGTGTGTGTGTGTGTGGCTATCTTTTTCATGCTGGGAAGGCCACAGACATTTTTTCCTCCTCATTTGTCTGTCCTTCTCCCTTCTCAGCTGTGTCTAAGTCTTCATGCTTCCTGAGGCTGTAGGGGGAGGGATAAGAACCACTAGGAAGTAGTGCAACGGCTATCAGAAATGGATCAGATCTCTCTCTGTGATACAAGGCTCAAATTGTGTCATGTGATCACGCTTAATTAGCTCCCTTCTCCGAGATCTGCGCTCCAAAAATCTGTCTGGCGACCTTCGCTCGAGGTCGTCCGGACGTGATTACAAGCGAGAGTGTTTAAAGGAGGTTTCTTTCTTCTGTTTCCATGTCTCTGTTTTTTCCTATTGCAAAGTAGCTCAGCGTGAGGGATGGAGCGCAAATGCAAATATTCGTCCTGAGTGTTCATTCATGCAGAGCTGAATCGTTGTTGTTTTTTTTCCTCCTCCTCCTCCTCAATTTTCCCTTCTCTTTTTCTCTTTTTGAATTTTTGTTGCTAAGGCTTTAATGAGAAAGGTTTACCTAAAATAACCAAATGAAAGGAAGAGAGTTCATATGATTTAAGGACCCTCATTTCTTCCTTCTGTTCTCTCTCTCTTTTCACTAGCTCTGACTAGAAGGATTTTGGTCTTCCTCCTCCCCTTGCTTTTTACAGAATGTGACTTTTCTTGTTTTGCATTCATTTTGCGAGAATGGCATGTGTGAAGGAGTGTTAAACACCTGTCGTCCCCCCTCTGGCTCTCCCTATGTCTGGCTTTTTTGCATGGCTTGTTTGTCATAATCAACTAGACATGCCAAACCATCATTTCCTTAAAGGACATGAACTTTCACTGACATAATATAAGAACAGGAGCAAAATTGGACAGCATTTTATTTACTAAATGAAAACCTTTTAGCGTTTTTCTAAAAATAAAAAATCAAATCAGACCTCACAGACCTATACAAAGGAATGCTGATAAATCGGGTACTGTACTGTACTGCGTTTAAAAAATCGAATATCAGGATTTAGCTTTTAAAAAAAATAGCAAACTTTGAAGCAACATTGAATCTATTACTTAAAAAATGGAAATCATACGGCGCAACAACACCTCGGCCTAAAGGAGGCTGTTCACCAAAAGGCAGTGACCGGGTAAAGAGTGGATTAGTGATAGAAGCCACCAAGAGGCCAAGCGTAACTCTGAATGAGCTGGAGAGATCCAAGGGTCAGATTAGAGAAGCTATTCACAGCACAACCGAAAACTGGACACTCGAAGAGTTGAAAAGTTGGTGGAGCCCAAACATTGGTCATCACTCTGAGAATACCTTTCAAGGTGGTGGTAGCTTCATGATATGGGGATGTTTTTCATCAGCAGGGATTGGGAAATTGGTCCGGGTTGAATGTAAGATGGATGGAGCCGAATACAGGAAAGTCCTAGAAGAAAAGCTGTTCCAGTCCGCAAGAGATTTAAAACTGAGGCGACAACAACTCTAAGCATACTGCCAAAACTGCACTGGAGTGGTACAAAATCAAGAACCTGAATTCCTTAGAATGGCCTAAACAAAGCCCAATCCGATTGGAAATCTGCAGCATGACTTGATAATTACTGTTCGCCAATGGCATCCATGCAATCTGACAGAGGTTGAGCAATTTAGCCAAGAAGAATAGACAAAAATGTCAGTATTCCGATGTGCAATGCTGGTAGAGATGTACCAGAAAACTCGCAGCTGTAATAGGAGGGAAAAGTGGTTCTGCTAAGTATTGACTCCTGTG